AAAGACATGCAGGTCTGTACACCTGTTGAATGTAATACTTACCCAGACAATCAAACCTTTGCTGCCATACTGATGCCTTCAGATGTTGAAGGACAAGTAGTTGGTCCCTGTTTCTTTCTGAATGAAAGTACATTGACTGCCTCCTGGACTCACAAAATGCCTCATTTCGAGTATGAAGTCCCTTATGAGAGCCTATGACTGTTAAAGTGGACACAGGGTTCGTACGGTCCTTAAGAGTCCTTAAGTTTTTTGGAATCGATTTTTGGTCCTTAAAAGTCCTTAATTTCAGACAAAATCGTCAGAAGGTCCTTAATTTTAATCATCAGAAATTTCTGTCTGTTTCTATGACTGCCATTTTGAGTGTGAATTAACATTTTAGAGTAATATTTTTGGCGATTTGCTGACAAATATGGTTATCTTTTAAGTGGGTTCATGGATTGTAATTTGTTCCTATTTCTAATATTAAATGGTGGGATACTCGAGTTTCTGAGCAGGAAGTGAAACATTCAAAATTATTTCATTTTTCCTAATGAAGAGCTCTTAAACAACTTTTTGCTTTTTGGGATGTTAATTCTTTTATTAAACCCTTCTAAATTTGACAGCGTATCTTAATTTTGGCGATTTTAAGATCTGTTTGTATAGAAAATTTTTAATTCCGAGATCTAGGATATTTTTGACAGTTTTTTTAGAACATTGTAATATTCATAAATTTCATTTAAATAATGGTAATATTTTTGAATTATTGTTATGAGATAAGATTAAAATAAAGCATTTTTGTTTTTTGCTGTGATATTATAAAGTTCCATTTCAGCCATTTATTATATGGGGAAAATAAGCAAGGTATAATGCTATAAAGCACCAGTTATGAAACAGTTCTTAGCAAAAGCAAACTAGCTATGTAATTAATTAAAAATATATTTTTCATATTTTCATGATAAAGGCTTTTCCCATTTAATTGTCTCAGAATATTCAGAAATCTCAAAATATACATCAGTTTTCTCCAGAGCTTAAATTGCGCCCAAGCCCTGCTCCGGCGCAATTTAAGCTCTGGAAGAACAGTGAAAACATTATATTGAATGTTTTACTTCCAATACTAGAATCTTTTTCTTAACATTTTAATCTTCCCTTTATTTTCTCTACTTTTCACTAGACACAAGCATAGAAAATATCAAAAATGCTTCTAATCTTATCATATGGACAGGCATTATAAAAAGGAATTCTTTTATTAATAAAGATATTGAGAACTGAAAATTTAAAAGATTCATCTAATATGTCTTAATGCATCACACACAGGACTGATACTAGGCATTTTCCCATCTGATGCAGTCTCTGTGGATCGTAAATTTTGCTGCCTGGTGCCTTTCTAAATTCTGCTTCCAATGCTTGTTCTAAATTCTAAATGTTTTGCCATTTCTAGATTTTATTGCTCAGTGTGTCAATAAATTCTAAAAATTATGCCACATCAGCTCTCTAACCGAAGCTTACCATATATATTTCAATATTTTTTTTTAATGTTCATATTACTAAAGAAATAAAATTAGCAGCTTTTTCTATACATTCTAAATGCATTTAGTTTATTTAGAATATCAGAAATCTTTAACTAAATCCAAAAAATCTAAAATGAAGAGGAAACGTGGAAGAAAGAAACTGAATACATAAAGAAAAGCAAATTTATTTTTCAAAGATATGTACAGTTATTATTATGTAAATTACCCAATTGTTTACAATTTCAGCCCTTACTATATTTTCCCTTTTCTATTTTCTCACCAGAATTCAAATCACGTAGACAGTTTTGAAACCGAGAATTTTGGAGTGTAAGACAAGAGTGTGTTTCTGACCTCCACTTGCTCACTGCATTAGTTCCTGCCCGCTCTGATAATTTGTATTTATTTGTCTTGGATTATCGTTGGTGACATTTGAGTTTGTTATGATGATAGAGTTATTGGGCCATCCTAAAATCAAATTAAATTGTATAATCTTTGACCACTAATCCACATTTTTAGTTTGAATTTGACTCTTCTTGTTTCATTACATCACTACGAGCTGTAATTGATTTTGTTAACATAAAAACATGCCTTTATTTTTTTTCTTTTTAAATAAGAATCTTATTTAAACCTTTTCGGACATTGTAGTTACTTTCAGACATAGCGATAATTTGCTTCATATCTGTTGATGTGTTTTGGACTATTTAACTTTTACCAGATAAAATAAAACTTTCATAGGTACATTGTGGACAGGTTGATAGGTTAGGAGATAAAATACGCAGAAATTAGTGAGAACACTCTTTTGTGTATTGAGACAAATTCCGAATTGTTAAAAAAGGTGCTTAAAGAGAAGGAAATCAATATAAATCAGCTAAAATGTCTGGGAAGGCTTCAAATTAAAAAGTTGCATAAATATTTTGTTGAGTATTGTTACTACAAAACATAAATGTTTTATGTGTAATTATCCAAATATCATTTAAGAATCAATCTTCTAAATTACATGTATTTTAAACTGAAATTTTATTAGATTGGGATTTTAATAGGGCTAAAAATAAATAAAATTTAATAGTGACCATGTAAATCCATAATGACTAATGTTATCTTATACCTAATTTAATTACTTATAACTGCTTACTGCTTGCCCTTAAAAATTATCTCTGCATATTAAAGCGAGTTACTGCATTTCATTAACCCTTACCGTAGTAACACAAGATAAAACACATAAATGTAAAAATTCATGTAAAACTTATTCTTCACATCTAGTGAGACTTAAAATAATGCAAAACAACTTATCACCTCTGGTGCTTTAGTGGCTTATTAGAACTTTAAAGTATATTATATTAACTGAGTCACAATTCCTGCAGGTAAGCAGCAGCAGTGACAACAGCCAGTCTTTTGTTGTTCATCATGCTGATTATGATTTTACTTCTCATTTTAACCTATGCCACTTGACATAAAATCTGCTTACTACTATTTACTAAAGCTCTAGACTGAGCAAGTATGTGACAAAATGAGATATAAAATAAAATCAACATAAAACTAACTGTTAGTAAGTAAAACGTAAATAAAATGTCACTTATCTCCTTTCAAATATGTTCAGTTCTTATAAGTGTAAAATATATAATGCTCCTTGATAAATTTCATATATTTTATTCTCAGACTTAATAATAATTATGTTAATTAAGTCATGTTTAATAATAATGCATCCTACGTACGGATCTATTTTATTTTTAGGATGGTATTACAAAGTTCAGGCATAGATAATATTTTTCATTGAATTTATTCAGTTCCCATTCGCTCATAGGTCCTTAATTTTTTTCATTGATGGTCCTTAAAAGTACTTAATTTCCATGTGCAGAAATGTGTATGAACCCTGTGAACAGTATCCCTTAGTAGCCTCTTCTTTCCTCAGATCTTCCAATTTCTAGTTTAGACTTTCCTGCATTGACGAATCTTCTGCACAATCATGTGTGTATGTACCATGACTGTTGTATGATATATATATACGATATTGTATTATATCAACTTGTGTCTAGACCAAATTTCATTAAAATCTGTTTACTACTTCTGGAAATAGTTGATCAAGTGGGAAAATTCTCTTAATTTTGAACAATGGTACATATTAAATTATCATAAGATAATGTAAAAACTGAATTTTAATATTTATGTGAATATTTATATTTAGCTGTATTTTTAAAAAAAATTATTAAGAGTTATTTGATGAAAGTCTTAAGTCTTAAAAGTGGGTAAAAAATATGTAATTAAATTTATTGAAATATATTATAGTGTATCCATTTGCAAAATTGAAATTTATATAAGAAATTTTTATATAAAATGTGTGCAAGTTGTGCAGTCACTGCACTTATGCAGTTACTTATGTTATGCAGTTACGGCACAGGTTTAAAACAGCATTGTATTATATACACTGTGTAAAACTGTAATAAAATGCAAAAACATGTTATTATTTATAGCAAATGTTGGTTTAAAACAGCAGTTTACGACCAGATTGCAATTAAAACTGCTGTTATGGTTTTGAATCAAACACACGCACACGCACACACACACACACACACACACAAAAAAAAAAAAAAAAAAAAAAAATCAAATATAATTTAGAAAGGCACAGTTTTGAAAAATATTTTGGGTACTTCTTGTGCCAGATTGGGAAAAAAAAATAATTCATGTTACTCTTGTTCAAATTTTATGTCAAAATTAAGAGTGTCTGCCAATTTTTTCTGAAATGTAAATTCTGTAATGGTTTAAAGACAAAACGGAATTTTTTTAAAAAAAAGTTAACTCTAATTCGTAAAAGATAAATATATTTTAGCTTTATATCACTTTCCCCCCTTTTTTAACTTGGAACATATCAAATAAAATAATTATACTAAAAGTACGGTTAGTATTCATTAAAACTTTTCTACCTCTTACTTGATGCTGTTTCATGTTGCAATGAACATTGAAGTATTCAATTTTTATTTTTAATTTTTTGAATAGCATTTTATCAAATATGTTTATTGAATCTATTCTAGTTGTCCATAGATTGCCACTGTTACTGTAATACATCACATGTTTTTTTTTTTTTTTTTTTTTAAACACTCCCCCTGCCCCGGTCCCCGAAAAAAAAAGTGTTAATATAAAAACAGGCATTTAACTACATGAATTGAAGTGCTAAAAGCAGATTTGGCAGTTGCGGGACTTAACATATATAATTGTATCACATCATATATCAGATAAATGTGGAACTATTGCATATTTATTACAAAATAAATTAATTTTATTAATTATTCTTTGTATTTAGTAAATTCTTTTGAATTGGGACTGCTGTGTGGAATGGATTGCATTTTTCAGCTGTCTGAAGCTATCATTTAGTACATATTTTTTAAAACTCATTTTATATTTATTTAACTTTTAAATTAACAATACAACTTTTTTTGTTATGCGTAAGTTGCCTTTTTATTTTTCTTTTCTTAGAAATGAATGTCTGTTTATTGAATAAATTTATCTTTTTTTTAATAGAATGGATAAAGATAATTCTCAAACTATATCATTCAATGAATGGAGAGATTATTTACTTTTCTTGCCAAGCTTTGAATTACATGAAGTCTTACGATCTTGGAGGCACGCTACGGTAAGTATAGTAATTTTTTTAGTAGTGGTAGTTTATTACTTTGAATTTTTTAATATATTTCAGATGTATTTATGTCAACTGTGGTATAAAGTTTCGATAATGAAATTCCAATAAAAAAGGTATTTTTAGTTAACCTAAACAATGATATTATTGGTATTGTACTTCTGTAAAGTTTTCCATTTAAGAAAGTGAATGAACTTTTTTTGTTCTTTGTTTTATCTTATTTTTACTTATTTATTTTTTTACTTTATTTCATTGTCTGTTTTATCTGTTTCAATGTCCTGTTTCAATGCTGTTGTGTCTCATGGTTAAAGCTCTTGATTTTTTATCTCTGCCGTGATTGGTTGATTCTGCATGTGATAAGGATGCTCCTCCTTCATGTGACGTGCATAAGCTCATGATATGATTTTATTTTATTCATTTTATTAAAATTCAGCATTCTTTTGAATTAGGATTGCTGTGCAGAACAGATTGCATTTTTCAGCTGTCTGAAACTAGCATTTAGAACATATTTACATTAAACTCATTTTATATATATTTGACTTTTAAATCAATTATACAACTTTTTTTGTTATGTGTAAGTTGTCTTTTATTTTTATTTTTTAATTCTTTAATATGCATTTTATTACCTTTATATCAATTATACAACTTTTTTTTTGTGAAATGTATAACTTACTCTTTTTATTTTTTAACTGTTTTAAAAACTTTTAAAAATATGAAATATATATATATATATAATTTGATTAATGATAAATGGGAATTTTGACCAAGAAGTCCCAAATAAATATGTGTATGCATTGGGAGAAATTTTTTTCTTTTTTCATATTTTTATGTTTTGCTCTGCAAATTTTAATAATGGTTAGGCAAAAGGGGCTTGCTTTAATCTAATAATCTTTTTTTCTACCTCTCAGGTTTATGTGAAATTGTGTTGTCCCACCTCCTTTACAGTTTGTGATAATTTTAACATGAACATTAAAATTAACTTTAATTATCAGGTGGTATAATTATTGTTTTATATTTTCATATAAAGAATTATATAGCACATATTTCATTCTGTCATTTTCATTATGTATTTTTTCTTACTCATTGTGAATAATAATAATAATGCAGTAATTTTATTTGTGAATGTCAAATGAAATCTCTCTCTGTGTATTTAATAGTAATATGAAGTAGAAACTTATACTGGTCATAAATTTAGTTTCTAGATTTAGGTGAAAACGTCCTTGTACCTGAAGATTTCACACAAACAGAGATGCATACTGGAATGTGGTGGCGACATCTAGTAGCAGGAGGATTAGCTGGTGCAGTTTCTAGAACATGTACAGCTCCTCTAGATAGAATTAAAGTGTTTTTACAGGTAAAATTAAGACTGATTATTGTTATAAAATTCTTATCAAAATTTTTTCGGGTTATTAAGGGGAAGATATGTATGTATGTATATATATATATTTATTTAATAAAAAAGTTTGTCTTGCTTTAAAACTGTGTTATTATTAAAAAAAATAGCATTTACATAATTTAAATTCGGGTACATAAACTAAAAGATAATATACTTCTAAATACAGAGTGAATTTTCTAAAACAGATCTTCTGAATATAAATTTACTTTCAAAATATTTCTTTATCCTAAATAATAATTAATAAATTTCAAATCTTTGAAATGTGTAAGAGAATTAGACTTTTCTTAAAATTAATTCATTTTAATGTAAAGAAGCTAATGCATTCAAAAATATTTAACATTCCTCTCTCTTTTGAAAGAGGGAAAAAAATATGCAGTAAAGTTTCAGTCTTTACATATGGTTTGAAATTAAATTGAATTGTAGAATATTTTCAATAAATAGCTTTTTTTACATAGATAGTTAAGGAAGTTTATTTTGGTGTTACAGTTAATTTTAGACACGTGTATCTATATAATTCTTTTCGTTTTGGGATTAAATCTGACAGAAAATCTGAAAAGAAAGACATCCTAAAATTTGTATTCTGAATTCAAATCGTTGTACATTGCATTTTCTTTTTCTTTTTGCTGTTGCTTATTAATCAAAAATCAGAAGCAATTAAATATAATAAATTCTATAACATTTAAATAACAGAGTAGATTTTTTTTGCAAGAAATATATATTAACGTTAAAAAAAAGCGTGCTTTAAATGAAAACAAAAAAATTAGCAACCAGCTTATGGCACAATAGTTTAAAAAAACAGCTGCTTGTTTTTGAAAGGTTAGCTATGCAATATTAATATGCAGAAGATCTATTAAACATATCCAAGCTGCATGAAATACGGCATTGAGTAATAAATATAACACATTTGCCTTCTGCAATGAAAGGAAAATAAACAGTTAACATTATGTGTAAAAGAGAAAGAAGAATGGGGGGGGGAGATCTGAAAGGGCTAAGATTTTAACAGTTGCTCAAAAGGGTTTGCTAAGGTTTTTCTAAACTCTTGCTGAGCTCACAGTCTACCAGGCTGTTGTTGCACTCACTTCTGCTAACTGATCTCTTTTTAGCTTTATTATTAAGCATAATTTTCTTCATACTTATGCCATATACAGTTCGACAGCAAAATTGCAAAAATTTTAACAGCATGTGTTTAGAATTTCTGATGAGGCATAAATTTTTCTTCTTCTTCCCCCCCCCTCGGTCTTTTCTCGGTTTATCATATCAGTATACAATTTTCTTAGTAAGACGGTTTGCAAAACTTTTTTTTCTGGTCTTTTTACTATTAATATTTTGTGTGTAAAGTTTATTAGTTAAATATCATGTTCTTCACACTCAAGCCACATAAAATTAATTTGAATAGAAAAATCACAAAATATTTAAAAACAGCATATCTTTAGAATTTCCAGTATACAGTCTCGTGTGCTGGAGATAACAACGTTTTAATCTGTACAGTATTGCCACTGCTCGCTTTTAAATTGTTGAGTCTGTTAAAAATTCGTTAAAGTTTTACAGACTATGAAATGTTAAAATTCAAAATTGGTCTTCCATGTGTACATGTTTGAGTGTAGGACTACTTCATTCAAAATCTGATGGCCCTAGGTACCGTTGTTTTTTTACAGTGAAAGATCCCACACATTCATGTAGATTCTTCATTATTTAATTTTTTTAAAAGTAATACAGGGCAATACTAGTTTATTATAACTACTTGAAATGTAATTCAGTGTTTTAAAGTGATATGCCACAAAATACTATTTCGAGACTAATAGCCCATTTGAGTTAATGCTGTTTTGGGCTAAAAAAATCACATATAAATAACTTTCAAAACCTTTAGTTTCAACATTTATATGCATATGAACATATACTTATAGATTTAAAATCACAATCATATATTTCAAATTGTATAATAAAGTATTTTTCCTTGTTCAATCCATTCTTCCATTCTTTTATTCTTAAATTGTCTGTATTTTACCATTAAGGACTCCAAGCATTAAAAATGCTGTTATATTCCCGGGTGTACTGATTTCAGTTGGTTTTTGCTCCTGAGATTTGTTAGGTGTGTGTGTTCCATAAGCTTTTATTATAAAAGGAAAAAAAAAAAAAAAATGTGTGTGGCATGGCTCAGCTGATCAATATTTATTAAAGTTTAACAACGTTTTTACCCAAAACATTATGTAAAGGGAAGATTTTAATTAACTTCATGAGTTGATTTGCTTTATTACCTTTATTGCTCATTGTTGCATAAAGTTTCAGTTGTGTTGTAAAATAAAGCAATAAAATAATTTATCCACCTTCATTGAATCCTTTATTTATTATTTAATTTCATTTAAGCTTATCACAAAGTCTAAAAATATGTATACAAATTTTAAAGTCGGATTTATTCTCTATTTTTTAACTTTTCCATTTTCATTCCCATGCAGTTCATAACATGGAAAGTTTCACACATTCGGTTGTTCATTTAGTTAGAAAATCAGGGAGCTTACTAGTATAATATAGTTGCTAAGCAGACCTATTCTGAGTGTTCTTATTCAAACATAAAAATGTACTTAAAAAAAAAAACTAAAACGTTAATTTTAATTTGGTTATTTGTTGTAGTTCATAAATTTTCAAAACTGTTAGTCATAATTATTCAATTATTAAATAAATACTTGAGCTTCATTTTTCTCATTTGTCATGGATTTAATGTAATAATATAACTTTTTACTGCTGGAGTTGCTGAATATTATTAATTAGGTGCTTGAATAGATTTAAGGCTAAACTTCACCCTTAGAATACATTTTACTTCAAAAATTTTCCTTTGTCATTTTACTTCAAGTAAGTGAGCTATCAGTCATTTTATTTCAAGTTTGTATGTACAATTATTTTCATTCTAAAATATAAAAGAATGTATTTGGTTTAAATTAATACTATGTGAGTTGTTATTATTTTATATGTTTAGCCTTGAGAGACTTATCCTTATATTGTTTATCCCAGCTGTTAAAATTTGTTTGTTAATTCATATTATTCTGCATCTTCTGTTATTTATAAATCCATCATAATCCTTTTAGGTATCAGGAGCTGAATTTGGTTCTATATCAGCCTGCCTGAGGCATATGCTAAGAGAAGGTGGTGTGAGTTCATTATGGAGGGGGAATGGCATTAATGTTTTGAAAATTGCTCCAGAAAGTGCATTAAAATTTATGGCTTATGAACAGGTACGAGTTCTTATTTAAAAATATATATATATTAGTGGGTACTTTTCTGTTAACGTCATACCGTAAAAGAGAAAATTTGGGAGGGACTTCTTTAATATAGAGTCAAAATTGTGGGAAAGGAAATTAACTAAAATCTGTCAATACCTTGTTGGCAGATTTTGGCTTATTTCTTTCTCCATAATTTTGACTTTGTAGTAAACAAGTCTCCTTTCCCCTTTTTTGTTTATTTCAAGTATTTTCCCCTTTCTTTGCTCAGTTTTTGTTACAGGATTTTGGTTAGTTTCAACCCCAAAACCCATTCCATCCAAAAAGAAAAAAGTATACATATATATTTAAGTGAAGTCAGTAAGAAAATTACCGAAGACAATTACTGAATAACCTAGCAAGATACTCACTTGAAAACTATTTTTATTCCCAATTTAATCTTCATAATTATTTATACCTTTACTCTAATATTTAACACAACAATACCAGCTGCATAAAATTCTTTGGCTTGCTGCATTAGGACTGCATCTTGAACATTGACACCATCTGCAAAGTGTTTGCCTCTGAGATAGCAGACTGAACAGGTACTGCTGCTGTCATTGTTGCAAAGCTAAAATAAAAATTATAGTAATTAATAAACATTGAACTAAAAAAATAATTTTAGACTAAACAACAAGCATAAAATTAAAAATGGGATTCAGCGTAGCAGAGGGCATTTCTCCTTTAGTTCTTCTGGTTGCCTGCATGTGCGATAGTACATAAATTCAGTTAAATTGGATTGACTACATGTTGGCAGGCAGTGACTTTTTGGTATTTGTTATGCCATTTTGTGCTACTCCACACGCACTTAACAGATTAAATATGACACTTGATATCTGAATCAACGAAATGAGATGAATGATTTATTGTGAAATATTCCTATCCTCAAATACAAAACCGCAGTTAAAAAAAAAATCAAATTATTATTTTATTTATTTATTTATTTTTTTTTTTTAAGATGAAAAACATGGGTTTAAGCATGAGCGATGATTTATAAAGACAATTATTGCCATGAAAGAAGCAAACCAAACTGACAATGTAGGAAATGCGCCTAAGCAAAACAAACAACAATAACAACAACAACAACAACAACAAAAAAAAAAAAAAAAAAAAGTGTCAAGTGGTTTAGCTTTAACAGTAAAATGGCCTCTTGATGTTAACAATTATTTCTTAAAGTAAAAGTAGGAGTTGTCCATTTTTCAAATTTAAACAATTCATCTGTAGATTGGCATCGATTTTAATATACAACTTAAAAATGTATTTTGTGAAAATCTGATGAATATTTTTTCCTTAAAAGGGAAAACATTCAAATGCATTAATTTTCTTTTTTGATATTATTTAGTGAAATAACTAGAAATATGCAAATAGGATTACTCACTGAAAATAAAGAAACCAGTATCAAATTATTATGAAATGCATAAAGCATTTTTAAAAAGTTTATACTTTTCTGAAGTTTAGCCTAATTTTACAGCTGATTAACTTCTGTTATGTTTAATCTCATGCAGATTAATTTTGCCTAAAAATATAATTCGTACATGTCAGAATTACAGAAAGTGTGTATGAAGTGCACTTACGATGTATCAGTGCATTTACAGAGGAAAATCCATATTGTACTTGTATACTTTATCAAATGTTTTCATCTCTGATGAGATATGTGGCTGTCAGATTTTCTTTAGTTGATTCACTGCCCCCTCATTTTACTGCTTTTTGTAAAGGAAATTAAGAAGAAAGAAAAATATTACTGCATAATTTCTTAGGTATAGTGTAAATTGCATAACTGTATGTTTATAATTTAGCTGAAAACTCAAAATTCAATCTGTGTGTACTAATCTTCCTAATATTAAAATCTGCTTTAATTTGGCATTGCAGTTAATGATTAGTTTCTGCAATGAGCTGAATTATCTCATAGCTTAAATTGTTCTTGCTTGCAGTTTAAGTGTTAGAACTCATAAAATTGTTCCCTTAAATTGAATTTCTCTTAAGAAATTCCCCCTCCGTTGAATTTCTCTTAAGAAATTCCTGTAATTAAGTAAATGAATCAAACCATCACATTATTGATCGGCTCTTTGTTAAAGACCTTATTTTTTACTAATCAGTTATTTTTATTTTAAGAAACTTTTCTTTCTAATTTCAATTTCCTGCCAGAATGCAAATTTAAATGACATATATGCAAAATCTCAATGAGTTCGAGTATTTAAGTAGCAGAATTGAAGAGTTCACAGTAGAAGAGTTAGTTGCGAGTAGAGCAGATTACACTGAGAATGAGTTTATGCCGCTAGCAAGATTTATGCTGCATGTTTGCAAGTAGCTGTGTAGCTGAAAATTTGTGCTAGCAACTTTAGATTGATTTTGATTTGATGTTTTAGACTTGATTTTGCTGTGTGCAACCAATAAGCCTGATTTGGATTAAAGGAGCCAGTTGTAGTTAAAATTTACTTCATTCTGATTATACTTACTATTTTGTGTGCAAGTTACTTAGACACAATTGGGGGTTGCTTTCTGAGCACTGAGTGTGTGCTTGTTCTGTTCATTTTTGTTAGCATAAAAAGGTTATGATCTTCATCAGCAGTCATCTGTTTTTCAAGACATAGCGAGAATTTGCCATTTTGTTTTCAGTAGAGACCACATTTTATACTCCCAAAAAGAACAAGACTCTGCAATGGCACCCAAACTGGAAAAAGGGGAGCATGATAATTCGTCGCCACCAGAATTTGGTGATTGGGCCCCCTTATCCCCAGTCGCCCTTTAAGAGGGGGATATACAAGGTATTTTTCCTTCCTTCTGTCAGCATGCCTTTGTGGTGTAACAGTAGCATATTCGGCACATATTCGAGAAGTCCACGTTTGAGTCCTGGTGAGGAATTGATCATTTTTCACATTTCCTGCTAAAGAAAACCCTAATGACTACTAATCTATTATTACTTAGATCGTTTTCATGTCGACAAAAATAATGCAAGATGAAATTTAGCCATTTCCATAGAACAGTAAGTAGATTGAATATTTATTGAAGAATGCAATTAAGGCCTTTCCTTTATGATTTGTTCTAGTTTCCTAAGCTTTCATATTTTCTATTTTTACTAGGGAAATAAATATGGCATATAATTACAATATTAAGAAATATTGTCCCCTTGTTCTTTAGCAGTTTTTTTATAATACAGGTCATATGATGTTCTTTTAATAAATCTTAAGTAGGAAGGCTAAACTTTGTTTTGTGTATATTGTTATTAATACGTGGAAACTGAGTAAACTCGTTTTGTGCAGATTGTTATTAAAGTGCAGGAGACAAAAAAAAAGCTCATTTTCTATGAATTATTGGTGTTTTTTTTGGGGGGGGAGGACAAAGTGATTTTTTTTATGATAACTTGACTTTTTTACAGTAAATTTTAAAAAAATGCACCACATTAGAATAGAATGTAATGATGAAAAATTTTGTGATGATAGTGTGTTGAATTATTCCTGTGAAAAAGAGCTTACCGATGATGATTCTAGTGATGTCAAAATTATACGACATTCTAGGACTATATTCTAACCAAGAATTTCAAGCAGGTTTGATTTAAGTCCAGATATGGATGATTCTGAAGAAAGATGGTCATCAGTAGACAATCCACCAGTCTTGGAAGAGTTTTTAGGTCACTTGGGAATAAATACAAAAGACATTCTAGATAGTGTAGCATATATAGTGTGATAAAATATAAATATCATATTATCACTAAATATTATAAATCATATTATCATACTATCACTGCAATAAAATATATTTATTACCAAAAGCACTACTAAAAACGTAAATATGAGGTAGTAAATCTGTATTAAAGTATTGTTGGTCGGTCATAGTCCCAGTTACAAGCACATGTAGGGGCGTAAATTATGAAAATTATGATACTGCATTTCCAATATCAGTTCCCTTCCCTGGATATTTTCTGGGCAGTAAGCAGTACACTCTCATGCCAGATAAGTTGGCGTCTACAAATCGATGATAGACAGAAGCTACATTCATCTGAGAATATTATACAAGCCCAGTTCTGTTCAGTCTAATTGCTATGCTCACGTGTAACAGATCTACGGGCATGTAGTTCTCCTCCAAACATCTGGCTACAGTTTTTCAGGAGATCTGTTGTCCTGTAACAGCAAGAAACTCATTCGTTATCAGTTAAGCTGTGATGCGCCAGTTTCTTTTAGTTGATACAGCAGTGTGCCTATTTCCTGAAGACTTTCATCAATACTATATACCAGTGCTCCGCAACCGGTGTGCCACGGCACACTAGTGTGCCATGAGTAGGATATAGGTGTGCCGCAATCAAATACATGTATTTGACATTTTGCAATTTTTTATCATGTATTTAATACACAATGACAATTTTTTTCCTTAATAATGTCTATTTTAAATGTTTTTATATATTTCACTGTTGTGTGGTTGTGTGTGTGATTGTAAGTGTGTCAGCATTTGAATTTTTTTGGCACTTCCTTGATAACTCGGAACTCTTTGGTGTGCCACGAAATTCCAGAAAGATTTTTTGTGCGTCGCAGGTGAGAAAAGGTTGCGGAGCACTGCTATATACAGTCAACATCTAGCATTAGGAAAGGAACAAAGTGCTTATCTAAGGGAGACTTTCCATAGACATGAGGAAATAATCATTAGGACCCAAATGTTAGGCCACTATCAAACTTCATGAGAGGTAAGATTCTCTGTTACGGAATGGCAACGAGACAGATTGTTGTTCAAAAAGATGGATGGACACATTCTGTTGTAACGATCATTTTTGTGGATATCGCGTGTTGTAAAATGAACCTATTACACTGTGCTAAATAGTATTAAAATGCTATATATTAAAAGATCTTTCATCTGATCTAAATTTTAACAAACCGCTCATTATTTTCTCTTAAACTCACAATGATGTTCACGACACCATCGTTGAACTAGAAAAAAGAAAAATACATTGCAACAATGTTATGTGTGCTTCATCAAGAAAATACCCAGTATAACATGGTATATATATAAATTTTGCAATATACGCTTTCATAAAGGAAAGTTAGACATCCTATCTCCTTGAGGTTCTGGCAACTATTCTTCCATGACATTTATAGACAAGACAACAATAACAACAAAGGAAAGTACTTTGAAATATATTGCACTTTAAGGCATTATTAATTATTTTATTTTTTAACACTTTAACAGACAATGATTTCATTTTTACATGTTTGTAATAATGTACATGTTAATAAATATATACTATTCTTATTAATAAATTAAATTCTGTTGGAAGAAAAGTTTTGATTAAAAACACTTTAGCATTTTATGTTTCTTGATTTCCTTTAAATCAGTTTTGTTTCCATTTCTAAAAATAAAGGCTGCTTGTTAGTAGTGAAAAAATATGATATATTTTGTTTAAAAGAATATAGATGTTCACAAAATTAAGTTACAAAAACTGATTGTGCAACAGTTATTACAGATTTTACAAAATGTTACAAAATTTTAATAAAAATGTGCTTAAATTGTAGGCTAAAAGACTAATACGAGGTGATTCTGGTCGGGAGCTGGGAATCTATGAAAGGTTTGCTGCAGGATCCCTTGCTGGTGGCATTTCTCAAACTGTGATTTATCCTTTAGAAGTAAGTAGGCTAAGTTTTTTAAAACAGTAAAAGAATCTTTCAGTATTGTTTTGATTGCATCCAATAATGCATAATTTATTTGCCTAATAAAGTGAACTGTTTAAAAGCAGTATGTTCAGTTTTGAATAAAACTTTAATATATTTTTAATATTTTCATTTTTCTGTCAATAAATTTTTTTAACATCTAGGCCATTAATATAATTAATAAAAGTTATTTCTAATATCATATATTATCAGCTATCCATTAACCAAGGTTAAATTAAACAGATCTGTCAAAAAATAGTTAAGTTTATTTATTGAAAAATGGTGAGAAAATTATCATCACAAACAGTCAGCATAAAACAAAACTGTCTGAAAATTTTTTTAAAAAAATACGTGTGATAACAGCAGTGAGAGCAGATGTCTGCCAGATGAACTGTTCCGAAAAGCAAAAAGTTTTAACTTTTGTATGAAGTTTTGAACTCAGTGATATTGTTTAAAATTCTTTGTAAATATTGTTCTTGTAATGTTATATAAAGGGTTATAATCACCAACAGAATGAAAATAAAATCTGCAAAATGATAAAATTCATAGTTGCAATGAGGCAAGATATCTGTCAATAGCATTAGTCAAATCACAGACCCTCACTGAGCAACATTTTTAACACAACAAAATTTTAGTTTAATTTTTTTAAATTTTAATTTATTTCAGTTTAATTGTAATATTAATATTAGTTTGATTAGTTTTATATTATATATTATACTCTAAAAATGCATGCTTAGTTGAAAAAAATGTGACTAAACTGTTCATTATGTACTGGGGAAAAAAAATCGTGTAATATATCATTTATGTTACTCTCAGCCATTATCTGGCCATTTCAAAATTATTTTTGTTGCAATAAACACCTGATGGAACGGCGGAAATAATTTCTGCTAATCCCTAATAGCTATCAGGAGTCTCCGCTGCCTGTCACCTGTAAATATTGTTCTTTAATGCCATTTATAGCTGAGTCTTTTCATTTCTAATAATGTTTATTCTTTCATTACTTACAATGTACTCTTTTTGTTTTGATGATTAGTTTAAATAATCAAATTAATTACACTCAGATTAACCATGATTTTGAGTTAACTGTGAATGTTCCTAAAATTTTCCTGGCTAATTGGGAGTTGACTCTAACTAAACTATCTTACTGTTTCTTACCATCTTATTCAAAAATAAAGTATAACAACAAAAATAAAGTTCTGTAGCAACTAATGATTGCAGTCTTCTCTTCATTTCTTTTTGTTTTATTAAGTTTGAGGAATAAAGATTTAATATTACATGATAATATTAGGTATCATTTTTAAGTGTAACAAGATATTTCTTATGATTTTCTTCTAGTTTGTATATCAGGAAAATTGTATTGGTATAGAATTAGAGCCTTTGCAAATCTTGTATAGTTTAGATATCATATGCGTACATAATTAAATAGTATATCGTACTGTTAAAAAATGTCCCCTGATTTTTGTTTGAGGTTTATATATTGTGTATATGAACAAGTAAATATTGTTTGCTGTTTTAAAAACAATTGATTTGAGCTTTTTGTAGGGCATATTTTACATTGTAAGAATATTTTTTACGTCATTTTACTTACACACTTACTTACACTATTACTTTACCACTATTTAAAGGGTGATATTGCGAAAGTTTCTTCATTCCTTGTGACATATGTTAATATTAAATGTTGAATGTTAAAGAGATTAAGAAAGTTATATTAATTAAATTAAATTTATTTTGTTGTTTTTAATTAAATAAAATACATATAAACTGAATGTAATGCTACGTTTTGAAATAAGTCCAAATATGCGTACATTTGACACATTTCTCTGTTATGAATTGAACCCAAGATGAAACCATTTATGTATTCAACCATTGCTTGACAGTGCTACACACACACACACACACACACACACACACACAACACACCCAAAAAAAAAAAAAAAAAAAAAAAAAAAAAAAAAAAGCAAATGAACATTTTTCATGTTCTTTTTAAATGAACTACATTCAGTTTCTTTCTCCCCTTTTTTGTATGTAATATGAAAGCATTTTATATGCCATTAAATCCCCCCTCTTGTATGTTCCCCAATTTTTGTATGGGTTGAAGCATGGTTATATATATATATTTTTTAAGCTGTAATATCAAGTAAACGGTTCAGTGAAAATGTTCATGATTTAGCATGTAAGGACTTATGGATATGTAATTAATTACCTCTTAGGTTTTGAAAACAAGACTTGCACTAAGGAAAACAGGACAGTACAAAAGCATCTGGGATGCAACTTGCAAAATTTACAGAAAGGAAGGCTTACGTAGTTTCTACAGAGGTTATGTTCCAAATTTATTAGGCATCATACCATATGCAGGCATTGATCTTGCAATATATGAGGTGAGCTTAAGAGCTGTATTTTTTTAATGTAATTAATTATGTTATGATGAAAGTAAAAGGAACAGAACTATGGAACTCAACTGTAAGCATTACCTTTGGACTACTGTTAAGAATCATTATGATATGATATAATGTAATCTTTGTGCAGTTGCTAGTATTTGATATAGCATTAGTTTTTTGCATTCATACTCTTTACATTCTTATATTTATAAGACACTTTGATTTAAAGAAAGCTGTATAGTCTTACATAGGTTGATATAAAATTTCCTTCATCTTGAAATACACTACAGTAAACTCTTGCAAGCCAAACGTGGGGTTTACGTCTTAACACATTGTGCATACAGCAAAATCACATTTCACAAAGTTAACTCTCTATGGGGAAAATGAGTTAAATGTAGTTCAGCTTAAAAAAGTATATGTAATTTATACAAACCTAAATATTACAGTAATAAAACAGAAAATGAAACAGATGTTAATTGAAAGGATTTCTGTTACTGTTTAATGAATAGGTATGCGATACAATAATTTTTGTTAAATAACTGTTAATTTTTGCTTGGGACCATGTTTCATGCAACTCATTAAATATTTAAAGGAACTCAAAGTTTTGCAATATCTCTTGCAAAGTATCTTTTTCTTCCTTCATCTGGGTCGATCTCCATTACAAAATTGAACTTGTGCCTTTTTTCGAAAGTTTGTTGAACTTCTTGATGTCAAAGGTTCTTTAACTTGAACTTCCGTGATGGTGATAGCAGTGATAGTGAAATCACTATCACTGCTTTCACCATCAGCAATGAAAGCAGTGATAGTGAAACCATCAGCTAGTGTTATAAGATCATCCTATTCTTGATTTGTCATATCACAGTTGTCATTCTCGGTTAATTCATTGATTTCTCATTCTTCCATGTCTAAAAATGCTTTGCTGCCTATTGCTTTACAGTTTGTAATTTTTCCTTGGCTTCATTTTCAATCAATGGGATTCCTTTACAATTATTGATAACCTCTAACCAGAGCTGATGTCAGCAAGCATTCATTGTTGATAAATTACACTTGTTTCCGTGCAAGTTTAATCATTTCTATGCAAAGTCGAATTACTTCCAAAATGCCATTAGTGTGCCATGCTTTCCTTCATCTGGTGCTTTATTTGCTGAGATGTAAACATGCTGTACATAATAGGCTTTGGGCCCACCAGCGGCCGAGCGGTAAAGTCGCTGAACACTGGTAGTTCGGTCCGAGGTTCGAATCCCGCGAACGGGCTGGCTGCACATGTGTTTTCGTGGTTTTCCCCATGTGTAACGTGTATACGAGCCAGTTTCCCTTAGAAAGTCCTCCACGAAGGCATCCCTCCCCTTAGGCAGATAGCCTTAGTGTGCTTTGCCATAATTAAATACACACACTTTAGCTTTGAATGTTAGAATGATAGCTTTGAATGTTTTTATAATTCCTTGATCTGTTGGTTAGATTAAGGAAGTGGTGTTGGTGGAAGAAATAGATTTGGATGCTTTGTTGTGTGTGCTTCAGCACCATGTTTTACAGCAATATTGAGAATTAGGAGAGCTGTAAAGCTTAAGTTTTAAGTGCTCTAAGTAATGTTTGACATTTTTAATAAATGAATTTTCAATCCAATCATTAGTTTTGGTTTGGTTTATTTAATTATGGCAAAGCACACTAGGGCTATCTGCCTAAGGGGAGGGATGCTTTGTGGACGCCTTTCTAAGGGGTATACACGTTACACATGGGGAAAACCCCCATGCAGCCAGCCCGTTCGCGGGATTCGAACCTCGGATCAAATTACCAGTGTTCAGCGACTTTACCATTTGGCCTCCAATCATTGAGGAGGACTACACAACATGACAGCACTCTGAAGCATATTGCGTATAATTGAATTTCTCGCATTGTTCAAATTAAATAGTGACAATTTGTTCCGCAAGCCTATGTTTGGCAAGGGTTTAATGTATCTTTCAGAGACATGAAATAGATCATTTTGTAATATCTCTTTTAACACTTTATCCACAATGATTTTCATTTCTGTATGTAAAGAGTACTTGGTTTAGAGAAGATGGTCTTCCAGAGTGGGTTTAGAGAAGATGGTCTTCCAGAGTGAGCATCATCTTCAAGGCTGAAATTTCTGCACCTCTCAAATCACCTTCAAACTGTGTAATCATAAACAGCTCTTTATTCATATACAGTGCAAATTTTACAACCAGTATGACTAGCATTTTTTTAGTCTCTGAAATAAAAGAGCTTAACATGACAAAAAAAATGAACTTTTCGGTTCTCCATCTTTAACATTTCTCTGAAAGCAAAATTTTGCAGCAACACATGCTAGAATGATGGAATATGATCAGAAAAGACCATATTTAAATGTTAGATTCGATCATAGAACCGCCTTATTAATAGTTACAAAATAAAAAGAAGAAAGTGCACTTTAAAAAACTGCCGAATTTTGAGTGATACCTACATACTTACACTCATTGTGAACCAATATTGTAGACTATAACTGTCCTTATTACAATTCCAAATTTTGATGTATCGGACTCACAAAACTTGAATGAGTTTGTTGTGTATAAAGTCTGGAAACCTATAAAGTCTGGATAGAACCTGTCTTAAATCTTTTTAATCAGCCCTTATAATTTTAAGATGCTTTTGTATTTAGCATTATTTATGTTAGATATTCATAAAAAAATGCAGTATTGTTTTATTATATTATTTGAATTGTAAAATTGGAAAAAAATGTCTGTAAAATGTCCATGAAGATGCCAAGTGTTCTTGAACGGGAAATTTGATTATTATTTTTCTAAAAAAGAAATTTGGCATTTTCTGTTATAAACAGTTAATAAAGTATATCATTGTAATCTTAAATATTTTTGCTTTGTCATAAAATTTGTAGCTTGTTTGTATAAGGATTTTTTTTTTTTTTTTTTTTTTTTTTTTGGTGATAAAATTTTTTTTCAGTGTTTAGTGATAACTTCATTAAATTTTTTCTTACAGACTTTAAAAAAAACTTATATCCGTAGGCATCCTGAAGAAACAGATCCTGGCATATTAGTACTGCTAGGGTGTGGAACAGCTAGTAGTTCATGTGGACAAATTGCTAGTTACCCTTTAGCTTTAGTTAGAACACGGCTTCAAGCGCAAGGTAATGCCACAAGGTTTTCATTATTTTAATTTCATAGTTATATCATATCATTTTTGCTTAGACTTAAATTTTAAAAAATATATAAAGAAATTTTTTTGCTATCATTTTCAGTCACTTTTTTTAAAATTTTAATGAGCAATTACCTGCGTAAGAATATATATTATGCAAGCTGATAAGCTTCGTTTCATGTAGTCTTGAATTTTTAGCTGGTTATCTTTAAAATACTCACATATTTTGACAAAGTGTACAAAATAGTTGTATGTTTACGATAATTAGTCCAAAGGGGCTTTGTCCCGGAAGGATTATTGTTTTCGTTTTGCGATTTTGAGTTGAAAACTTTAAAAGGCTGTATCACTTTTCAAATTGTTGCCACCAAATACTATCGCCCTGTATTACGTATGAAGAAATTAAGTAATGAAGAATGTGTAAATGTATGTATGTTTCTTGCATTGTAATAAAACAACAGTACCTAGAGCCATCCAGTTTTGAACAACATAATCCTGCTGCAGATATGGGCATCTGAAAGCCCAAATTTGAAATTTGGAATTTGTTTTATTATCGATTTCTTATTTTGTAAAACTTTAACGAACTTTTGATTAACAGTGATTTAAAAGCGAGCAATGACAACACCCAATAGGAGGGAAAAACCTTTTTATCTCCAGCATGCGAAACTGTGTATCAGAAATTCTAAAGATTTTTTAAAATTATTTTTCAACATTGCTGTTGAACTGAATTTTATGGTTTAAGTGCAAAGAACATGATATGTAATAAATAAAGGTAACACACAAAAACGTTAAAAAATGCCCCTTTGGATGCAATTTAAAATCTTAAACTTTTCAGATTGTCATTCTATACAGCAGATTTTTCAGATATATATATATATTTATTTATTTATTTGGTGAGGAAAGGATATTATTCTATTAAAGACTTTATAAAGAGAATTAGCTCATTTTTATTTCAGTCACGAAGAAAATCATGTAAAACCAAAAGCTGTTCATGAGCTTGGTTCCCCATTAGCTATTTTCTTTGGTGAATGAGGATCAATCATATATAAAACATTTTTAACATTGTTTCACAAGAAAAATCATTTTTTCATATTAGGTGGCCAGACTGATATCTTGAAATTATTATGTAAGAAATATGATTGAAGATCTAATTATCACATCTTGAGATAAAGCAGTTTAAAAAAATTCTGAAGATTGTAGATTACATTTTTAACACCTTGAAGTGCTTAATATAAAAATTTCAAAAAGTTAAAAAAGTATTTAAAAATAGAAAAATAATAAAATTATAAAAATTTGCAATCTGATTTTTATATGCTAACTCCACTTTATAGCATAAACCAGTTTTAAGCTTACCTATTACAAGTAGCTGCTAATTAAAAATTGATCCTTCAAAAACTCAAGATACAAATCTAAAATCTATATTTGAAATGAACTGTTGAAAATAGAAGTAACGAATAATAAGGGTAGGGGGGACTTGCAATTCTGTTATTTCATCATAAATTATCACCACATGCAAAGTTACACTGTTTATTAAATGATTCAGAATTTATTTTTCTTTATTTCACTTCTGTGCTTTTATTTCACTGGATCACCAAATAATTCAGTGTCTGCATGTGGTCATGTTTATTGGACTATGGCAAAGCTCACATGGTCTGTCTGCCTAAGAGAGGGATTGTTTCACTTTCTAAGGGCAACTAGCTCGTATTCACATTATGCGTAAGGGGAACCATGAAAACCAATAATGCAGCAAGCCTGAGTTCAAATTCTGAAAGTAATAATAGTAATTTTTGTTTTACCAGGATACAGAATTATTAAAAACAATGAACACCTAATTAAGATGTTAGTAGTAGTAGTAGTTTTTTCCTTTTTTTTTTTTTTTTTTAAATAAAAGTTAAAAGGATCCAGGATAAATAATATATTTTTATGTTAAATTGGGTTTGCAAGATGAGTGTTTTCAGGAGTGCCTTTTAAGAGTAAAACTTAGGTCTTACATTATTGCCAGTATGGTGAAGGATTTGTAAAATATTATATAAAAATGTAGTGACTTTACAATCATAATTAGAGTCAGTGTTTTAGAACTAAATTTGTATAGTGAGAGATCATCATTTAACATTTAAAAATCAAAAGTGATAAATACCAGCCACTTAATAAAATTAAAATATTGATCATAAAATATCAAAATAATATGATAGCTGATTTTTTTTAAATAATTATTTCACTTTTTATCTGTTTAAAAATAATTTGTTTTTTTAAATTTTTATCATTATTTAATCTGTACTTTTTTAATGCGATTTTGTTTATTTTTAGCTGTAACAAATGATTCGAACTCAAGTGCAAGTATGGTTGGACTATTCAAAACTATTATTCAAAGGGAAGGTGTTGCTGGACTATATCGTGGTATTACACCAAATTTTATGAAAGTTGCTCCAGCTGTCAGCATTAGTTATGTAGTTTATGAATATTCAAGGCGAGCACTAGGAGTTACTATGATATAAAGCTTTTGTTTTTAGGTAGCTTAATTTATAAAGATCAATGCTTAAAATATACATTTGCATTTCTGAAGACATTTGATTCGTTATTCAATCACAATTCTTTTTCATGCCAAAACTTTTCTTTTTGCACAATTCTGTTAAAATTTGAGTTTCTAAGGTTTGTTATGTAATGCTAATTATGCATTTGTATTCATTCCCAAGGTAGAAAAAGATTTATGAATTTCATTGCATTATGAGTCTTGGCAGTTCATTATTAGTATTTCAATTAAACTGTTCAAATTTTACATTAGCATATTTTACATAGAAAAAGAAGATTCCTACTTATGTAAGCAATATTTTTATTTGAAAGCATTATTTTGTATTTAAAAACTTTTTTAATATGGATGGTATATTTCTCCATTTACAGTGAAAATTCTCTTGAATTTTTTTATGAATAAGTCTGTTTCATTGACCTCTATTTTGTAGAGTTTATACCAAAAAAGTATATACATATATTAAAGGAAAAAATAAATGTGCATATAAACACAGAAAAATTGTGCAATACACATTTATAATCCATCATTTCTTTCAAAATTAGTATTTACTGTTTTATCTCTTTAAAATTACAAATTTTTAAATGTCAGTGATTAAGTTGTATAGCTTAAAGCTTATTTCTATTTATAAACCTCAAAACTTACATTCATCTCTGTTAGATGGCAGCATAATGAACAAGTTTGTATATCCAATAAAGAAAATATAGAGATAACAAAAATGTTCATCCTTTGTCTATTTAGGAATTCATAAATGACATGAAAGTTATATCTAAATCTGTCAAACTTACCACCATTTAAAATATGTTTGTAATTTGATGTGAGCGTTCTGAAGTTATTCATTGAAGCGTTCATTGTGGTTATGAATCCTCATACAATAAAAAATACTCTGTTGATGTTCACCAGTGCAATAAAAGTACCACTTTTAATCTTCTCCTTAATGTGTAACATGTTCTTTGTTTTCTCCGCCCATATCCAGATTAAAGTAATAAATGTAAAATTAGTCATAAGATGTCAAAGCCTTGTAGTCAATATATACCTGCAGTTAAATTTTTACACTTTTATATAAATATAACTTCATTTTGAGTGCCGAGTGCCTTGCCTTCTCCCTCCATAGTTCACTGTAGACATTGGTAGTAAGGTTCATATATTAGTAATTTAGGCAATTAAATAATTGAATATTTTAAAATGGCTTCTAGATTCTGGGGTGGAAAAAATTAATTACTGTCATCAGATACTTATAAAGTATTAGAAATATAGTTATAGGCATGTAGAAATGTAACAGTTAAAAAGAAACTATTTAGTAACACTGGAAAATTTTAAATATGCTTTTGAGAGAAATTTCACTGTATTTGGTTCTTTCTTCTGTATTCAAAGTCTAATTAATTATATTAAAAATATCTGAATATATATTTATTATATAGAGGTGCTAAGGAGGTGGATGTCTAAATGATAGAAAGTTAACACTTAAATTGCCTTATATTAAATTCTGCATTATATTAATTGAAAAGTGTGTAGTCATTTTTGCTGTTAAAATAATAATTCTTAGTTATAATTTTGTACATTTTAATTTATGTGTAATGTATTAAATTTAAACATCTTTTGTAACTCTTGGCAGTTTTATTTTAATACCATAGTTAAGAGATATTTATATTTTTTTAGGCATTTTTATCTATATCATAATGTTTGATGCTACTGTGGATGCATTCAAAAACAGTATTTTTGTATGTATCCTGTCTTATTTCATTAGTGTCTGTGATAAGGCAGCAAATCTTATCTTCAAATATGCTGTTATGTTATACCTCAGGACAAACATAGCATGTTGATAGTTGATAAAAAACAGATCTCAATACATAAAAAATATTTTGTTCTTTAAGTATATTTGCACATATTCTTTTATGCAAAATTTTAAAATTTATATCAGTCATAATTTTTAGTTTAATGTATTTTATGATTTTGTAAGGAGCTACACTTCTAGTTAGATATTTCATCTATAAAAATGTGCCGTAGAGTTTTGTAAAACAGGTTGTATTTTCTCTCTGTATCCCTGCTGATCATACATCATTTTAGATCAGACTTCTATTTCTAAAACGTTTTTATCTTTGAAAGTTAATGTAATATATATATATTTATTAAAGTATATGCATTAGTGTACATGAACTTCTATTAAAAATGTAATTGCTTCAAAAAGGTCACTAATCATTAATTGTATAAAGTAACAATACTGTATCAGTTAACATAATTTACTTTAAAAATTTATTATCAGCACAATGCCAAAACCATAAATCTGCATTTTTTGCTGTTTTTACTTTCCTACATTTTCTGTGTTAGTCTTGTAAAATACAGAAACGTTCTTATATTAGCTTCATTCCGTTTTATGTTAAAAGGCAAATATACACGTTATGAGATAATTATGTGAAAAACTATTGCATAGACAGCATAATTTGGATTTTTCTCAAAATGTATTTTGCTCAATCCATCGTTTTACAGATTTGGTTTTGGTGTAGTGCTATCTTGCTATGTAATAATAATATTCAAAATTCATGTACAAAATAATAAATTGCATTGCATTTTCAAAAGTCTTGGTTTTTTTTTTTTTTTTTAATTATTATTATTAGGGCATTTTATGTGAATAGGTAATACTGTCTAGACTATCTTTTGATCACTTCTGTTTTACTAATTTTATTTGGGAACAATAAAATTGTTTTAATTTGTGTGTAAATCTACTATTTGAAGTATAAATCTTGTATTCTTAGTCTTATGTACATTGTGTTTGTAAATTAAGGGAATAAATTTATTCCAATTATTTGTGGTTCTTTAGGAATAAATCTATTCCAATTATATGTCAATTAAAAATGTAATATTAGAGAAATTTATTCTCTTCTTTGTAATTAGAATTCATCATTTTCAACTTTTCTATTTCATGAAACTCACTTCTACTCCTGATCTGTATATTTTATGACATACATACTGTATGATATTCATTTTTAAATTCATGTCTTCTATGTTTATAGTGATATAAATAATATTTCTAATCAAAAGAATTTCTACTCATTGGGGGTGCATTTGCTGCCTTTATGCAAAAATATTTGTTATTTAAGAAAGTTATGTATTAAATTATTTATGAATGTATTTATGTCTGTATGTGTGGAAGTGCAAGTTTGATTGATTGTTATTCCAGCGTGCAAAATTCTATTCTGTTTGCCCCCACTGAGTTTTCTTTTCTCAACAGCATGTGTTGTTAGAATGTATATTTAAAAAAATCAGTGTTTGTTTTTATGGATTTAAGTAATATATTTTTATTTCAAAGTTTATTGCAACTAGAGTAATATTTTGTCCTTTTTTTGTCTTGTCTCATTATCTGTTTTATATAGGTGCACAACTGTTTAGTTTAAAATAATCAGGAATATCCCTTTTTACATAAATTATTTTTATTCAGATAAATAAATGCATAAAAAATTAATTTTTAATTTATATCATTGAAATGCAATCAGTTTTATAACATTAGTTAAGTGAGTACTTTTGCTAAATAATTTCACTTCCATAAGAAAGGCATTCAGTTGTAATTTAATTTATTAATAAAGACTGGGTATTTAAGTTCATTATATAGTTCTTTGTATGTTATTGTCAAAATACTATGATCAGTCAAAGCTAAAATGTTTAGGCTTTATCAAGTACTAAGAAGCAATTATTTTTAGAATTGAAAATACGAGCTTTGTTTCAAAAATCAGTAATAACCATGTTTTTTGTAGAAGAATATTATTCCTGTATTTATAAATTGAGATGTATTATAATATCATGACATTGGTTTTGACTGATTTTGGGTTTTAACAATAATGTTTTAAATAACAATGTAATTTTTTTAATAATGTCCAATTGCATTACTGTTATTATAAGTCTAGTTATCTGGTTATTTATTTATTAATGCAGCTATGTGCTGCTGATTTTTGCACCTGTATAGAAATATAGGCTGCAATTATTACAGAGTACATTTTCTGCTTTACAGGTGATAGTTGTACATACTTTGCTTCAGCTTTGAAATAAAACTCACTTGTAAATTTTTATATGTGTTTTTTATTCTTAATCCTGTTTCACAGAAATTTAATAAATTATTTCTCTTTAGAAGTATTATCATCATTAATGAAATATCTCATTAGTCTTTTAAATATTTCTTTTGAGAAAATGATTTTTAACAAACAAAATACTGATATAGTTTTAAATATGAATGAGAAACATTTTCTTTTGTACTAAACTGAGGTCTCTTCCAGAAATGCTTGGATAGTAAAATTTTGTTGCATATAAGGCTTTTCAGAGTACTTGGATTCGTGAATCATAGTTTCATTTATATCAAATTCAGTAGTAACGAAGATTCCCTGATTAATTCATGGCCAAACTGGAGAGAAAATGATAGTTGCCCCTTCTCATTGTCATACAATATATGTACACTTAAAAATTCAATTTTATATTATAAGCTGTTAACCTGTTCTTGACCAACATCCCGTAGGCGTGATACAACGATGTACAGCTCAGCGTCACCTCTACGTGAAGAACTCCGATCAAGATCTTAAGTCCACCATTGTGTATGTGTAATTTGAAAAGGAATGATTTATTTGAATTTGATGGTGCTAAATGGTAATGGTTTTCACGTGATTGAGTCGTATGGCTTTAGACCTTCATGTATGGGCTGGCTTTCTGGTTTTGATAAATTTATTGGTGTAAACAAACTGGGAATCACAGCTCCTTAAGTTAAACGGACACCAGCGTTTTTGTTAATTTCATTAGGAATTTTGTTTTTGTTCTTCATTTTTTCCCCCATTTTTAAAATGTAGGAAAGTGCATTCATCTGAATGTTTCCATTTATGTTATTTGCTTTTTTTGTTAGGAGAATGTGGGAAAATGCATGTAGCTGTCTATAGCAGGTGTAACATCGGCAAACTTCCGTGATGGAAAATCTCAGACCAGTTGTCCTTTCTTATATTTATTTTGAAACTTAACACAGGCTTTCTTGGTTAATTAAAAAGTAACATTATTATAGAAGGGGAAAGATATCAGCTTTCCTGATGCTCAGCATTTCTCAGAAAAAAGCTGTCCTTATTCGATATTAATGTGTTATTCTTTATATTAATACAGATTAAGAATTAGTATATTAAATATGTAGCTTCCAAAATTGAGGTCATTACATTAAAATGTTGATTTTATATGAATTTTTCGTAAAATTAGGCTTAACTGCTGAAAATGTGTGGACCGGTGGCAATGTTTCATTTTGGGAGGTTCGACCCCGTGACTGTATTTTGTTCTCCACGCACTGCTCCCCAACAGGTTAAATATCAAAGATTTATTTAAAGTAAGATAATGTAATCTTTTATCATCTAGCCAACAAATACAATTAGTGTGTATCCAAAATTGGTTTTTAGATATTTAAAGATTTCATTGAAATATAATCTCAGTTTTACTTGAATTCAAATGAAAATCAAATCAATTTTAATGGAAATGTTTGCCATATAGCAAAGAAAACATTTAAATCAGTATTAGAAAGTATGAAGAATACTCTTTCCAACCATCAAAAATAAAATTTACTGAAAAGCAAGATTTTTTTTTAATATATACTTAAAACAAATTGAGAATTTGGAATGAACGGTTTGACTCACGTCATATTATATGATCAAATAGTGAAATTAATACCTGATCTTCTAAAAAAAATTGATTGCTTAGATTTTTTTTAAGCTGACATCTTACTGTTTGTATAACGAAAATACTTAGAAATTTCACTACTTATATATGAGATAGCCACAGTGTTTATTTCCTTAATTATTGACCTTAGACATGCATTTTCAAATACAGTTTCTCTAAATGAAGTACAGAATTTTATGAGAAATTTTGACCTCTGGGAGACATTTGAAAATACAAAATGAAACTTGTATATAGTTTGAGCAAAGCAAAAAGTTCATTAATAAAATGTTCATTATATGTTTTAATCCTTCAGCGGTTGGAAGATAAAGCAATTCTTTGTTCCCAGACACATGCAATATATGTCAGTGGTAAATTTGTAATGCAAGCCCTGTTTGTGCCCACTGCCATACAGTGCTGGAATGCGAGCTGAACGCATTGATGACAATCAAAAGGTTCATAAATTAAAAGCAAAAATTTTATATTTTTGTGTGCAAAATTCATAAAAATATTAAAGTAAATTTTCTAACTTTAATCACGTTCAAGGCATATTTTCTGGCCCCAAAAAATTAAAGGAACAGTTCAGAACCAAAAGCAACTTGTGTTAGTGATTAATGGTTTTATATTGTGTGAAACAATGCTAATAGTTAATTTTGTAAGCAGCCTGAAGAAAACATTAATTACTTGTATATCACTGAATTTTGTTTGTAAATGTGCAGAACTTCATTCATAACTTATAAGCATATAACAAGCATTTTAGTAATTATGTTTTCTTTGTGCAGGGGGGGGATCATATAAAAAGTTAAAAATTTTGGATCTATAAAAACCATTGTACCTACAGTGTTGAAATTATGCTTTATGAAATTCTGTATCTTAATTTGGAAAAAATTTGTGTCTTGGAAGTACACGGATAGGATTGACCCTGAAGGAAACAAAGACTATAAATCATCCATGTACCCTTATTAGAAAGATAAATCCATGCACTTTTTTTTTTTTTTTTTTTTTTTTTTTTTTTTTTTTGCACCCTAGTGTGCCACTGAGAAGGATTCAGCCAGGAAGGTAAACCAGATGGAATTGAGCCATCCCATCTAAAAGCATACTAAATAAACACATTTGAACTTATCATCCTTTTTATAATAATTATTTAAATGCATATTTAAGGCACTGCACACATTTATTTCTGGAAAATTTTATAAGCATCTGCATTTTAAAAGTAGCATTATGTGTGTGGGGGGATTCATAAATTATCATAATTTTCTTTCAATTAAAATAACCCCATTAAATGCAATTTAATTATTTTCTAAGCAGTTTACACCAGTATTGACATCCAGTGGTAAACATGATTACATTATTAATTCAATAATCACTGAGTAACTTCCATGCTTAAATATTTCCAAATGGTTTGTATATGAAATGTTAGTTATGAAATTGTTGATGTATATGAAACAAAATGTATATGAAATTGTTAGTTAGTTGAGAAACATGGATACATTTTTCCTTTGAAAAAATAAGCAATTTTTAAAAACAAAAGAAAATTTCCTTACATTTGAGAAACACAGCTACCTTAAAAAAAAAAAAAAAAAATCCAAAGCCCAGAAGGGCTGTTAATTTCGTTTTGGCATTTTGCATTGATTCACTGTAAATGGTGGTTCACTTTTCTAAGTTGTCCTCCACTAGAATATGGGCTTCTGGAAGCCCAAACTTGAAATTTGTTTTATTATTTATTTTATATTTTGTAAAACTTTAACGAATTTTTGATTAAGAAATTTGATGATTTCAAAGCGAGTAATGGCAATACTGTACCGGGGGGAGGACATTTTTATCTCCAGCACACAAGACTGTGTATAGGAAATTCTAAAGATATGCTCGTTTTAAAATTATTTTGTGATGTTGCTGTTGAATTGAATTTTATGGTTTAAATGTGAAGAACACGATATTTAATAAATAAAGGTAACACACAAAATGTTAAAAAAATGTCCCTTTGGGCATAATATAAAATCTGAAAGCTTTCAGATTTTAATTTTTTTTTAAATCTAGAACTAAAATTGTGAAAAAATAATGTAATTTCTAATTTAGAAATGCCTTAAAGACAGTTTATGAAGTTAGATTCAAAATCCTAAAAGTGTTATTCAAACTAAAAAAGACTAGTGGATTTTCAAAAGAAATTAATAAGCTAATTTGCATCTTGCTAGTTTATAGGGAAAATCAAGAGAATCTGCATGTTTTATTCCTATAGAGAAGCATAGGCAGTAAACAAACACCATTCCAATTTTGACCAAAAGCAACCTAGGACTGTTATCAAAAGACTTGATGTGCCTTTCATAGTAACCAACAACCATATGAGAAAAGTTCTCAATTGACAGATTTTATCTGGCTTAATTCTACAAAGACAATGACAAACTTCTAGTATTTGAACCCAGAACCAACAGTGGTACTTGCCACCTCGATCTGTAATCTGCAGCGAAGGTCATAAGATCAGGGGTTCCCAATGAAGTGATGAAATTTTATCCCAATGGAGTCAATAGCCAAATATATACTCGCAATTTATTGCCATATTTAAGATCCCCATGATCACAAAAATAAATAAATAAAATCGAAAATTAATTGTTTGTCAAGATACAGTAAGGAAGAATCACATGAAATAAATACAAAGTAAAAATATGCTAAAATTATTTAATATATAGATTTTATACGCAATATGAAACTCCAAGAACGTAAAGAACACAACCAAACAATCATAAAAAATGCAAAACTAATGAACTACAGCAAAATTTATGCTTATTCTTTCATGGATACAGGCTGTTTAAATTTGTTAAGTGAAGTTCTGGTCAAATGGCAATTTCATCTTCAACATGTTAAGTCTACCTTTTACAATTGGAAAAAAGCTATGCGTCAAAGCAATAAATACTATCAATGCCAAAGCTTTGAATGGTTGTCTTTTTGCAGTACTGTGTGACCATGCATTAAGTTTTTATGTAATAGTTTTTAATGCTGCCTACAAGGGCAAATATTTGCAAGGTTTCATAAACATTTTCAATACTGTGATAAAATTTTCCTTTGAAGTTCACAGCCCTATGGCAATACAATTAATGTTCAATTCTTTAAAAAACTCTTATCCAACAATACACAAACTGCAAGAAAGAGACATCAATCTCATTGAAGCTAAAACGATTATTCATGATTAAAAAAAAAAAAAAAAAAAAAAAAATTCACTTCTTTATAGCAATACTGAATTGAAAATTATACCATTACTTGTATATTATAAATTACCTTACACATTATAAATTATACCATTAAAGATAACTTAATGTAATTGTCTGTTATTGAAAAGTATCATATTTCCCTGGAGGATGTATTGTTACATCGAAATCACTTACAAAATTAAAAAAAAGATTTT